AACCCATATTTCCCCTAATGTTAGGCGCGGCCGTAATTCCGTGATTCACGTTCCATCACTCATGAACTTTGCACCTCCGATCAGCCTGTCCGTGGTGACAACCAGCGGAGTACTTTCTTCCCACACTAGTCCGCTTCAAGGCAAAGCGAAGCACGCCGTACAGCAATCCTTCAACTGTGGCCTTTTCAAGGCGATCCTTATCGTAGTGCTACCTGCACCTAGTGTATATCCGAGATCTCAGACTTGAGGTCTCGGGTAAGCTGCTTTAGTCTCCGTCTCTCGGTTGATGCCAAAGTGTTTCCAGTACCGGTAGTCCTTGATGGACACGACCGATGTCTGGAAGGCAAGGACACTGGTGCGAATATGTCAGCGTTTTGATATTAAACAGAGCCGGATCTGCCTTTGGGCAGAGGCAAAGAAACCTACATCAACACCATGACGATGAGAGTCACAATCCAGCTAAGAGCACAGCTTCCACCAGTGCAGAACCTTCCATTCGCCTGGCACAACAGACCAAAGGCGACGAACCAGAACAAGATCTCCATTGTATTGAGGATAGCGTTGGCTTTGAGCGAAGCCCACTTCTTGAAGCGCTCCTTATGAGTCGTCAGAAGTTGGTAGCCGATAATGATAAGAGACTTGAAACCCTGTAATCGTCTGGTATCAGTCTCGTTCTCGACAACAATGATTGCGAAAAGTAACGCTGCAAAGTTTCCCCCGCCACGAAGAACTCACCATTGTAAGGGCCATGATGTTGCCGCGAGTGAAGGGGACCGGCATGGCCATGCGCCAGATGGTGAGGATGATGGCCAGTGCCATTAGGGCGACTTGCGCGATGTGGATTTTGGTCTTGTATCTGGTATCGAAAAATCGACCGTCAAAGAAGTCGCGGATGCCCATGGTGACGATAATCGTTTTCCTTATGTTTACTGTAAGATCTTCGTGCTGAGTCGGCGGTTTTGACGGGCGGTGGATCGGATTTCGGTCTGATTGTAGATGATCGATGAGTGCGGTTCTAGGTCTGATGAGGTGGTGAAGTTGGAAATTTGTAGAAGATTTGAAACTGAACAATTCATCTTGTATATTCTTCGACTTTTGTTTACATGTATTCGTTATGGCTCGGCAACTGCTTTTTGACATATACGCGGAGTTTAGTGAGGACGTATACGCGTATAAGGTTCGAACGCCAATTGCATCGCCACAATAACTCGAGACAATGGCTGAGGAACTCCACAACCCAGATGCTACGTCGAGTATTACAGGTGAGATTAAAGCCGACTAGCTAAAGGGCGATTACCCGTAACGCCCATAATTAAAGTTGCCGCGTGGCATGCATGACCCGATTGCTTGGCTCGAGGCTTTAAGAAGGCGCATAGGTAGATTCCAGATTGCTGACCAAGGGTTTAAAGGGTCTCTCGACGCTACGTATGCTGCGGCGTAGAGACCGCAAGGCGTCATTTGTACGCGTTTATCTTAGATCTTGACTTGGGGCAGTGCTTGCGCTGGCGCGCTCTTAACTGTTTGCCAGTCATTCGCTCGTATAGATGGAATTCGAAACCGCCCCACACGTTGCCTCTATAGCGGTTGATGGTTGGCGCGACGAAGCTGACAAAGGCGCTCTCTGCGTTGCTGCTTGAAGTGATGACTGCTTGTGTGGTAGGTGCCGTCTTTGGGGAAGATCCTTGAATAAACTGATTCGCCGAACAATTCATACTCAACTTACTACATAGACTTCGCTCGCGGCTTGTTCCCTGAGTCCCCGACTGGATCTCTCAATCTAGGAACATTCTTCTTGTTTCGTAGGTGGCATTGGCGCTACAAAGAGCTCTTCTATCAATTTACTTCTACTTCAGTGAAAGTAATGGGCTTCGCTTCTTTCTTCCTTTCGTGCACATCGGCAGTTTGATACCAGGATATTGAGCTTCGCACCGGCGCAACGGCCGCCCTACTGGTGTATACATCGGCACTTGCAGAGTGACGAAAACTTTGCTTCGAATGATGCATCTCATTGGTAAAAGTGCACAATTCAGCCCATTGACGACGGGCTGCCAACTTCAGAAGCTGAGTAGGTTTGATCTTAAAGTTGCATGGCCGATTTGAGAAACACCACGCGAATTACAACCAACATACACGAATTTAGTCGCCATGGAAGTTCTTGTCAAAGTCTCCTGGGTGACTTGACGGATTTCGGCTTTACTTTTCTCTCAGAGAACATGAGTAATGCAACCGCCTGGTGCTGGCAATAGAGTAAAGCGTGGTCCAGTGTCTGGGTAGTCAGCGAGTTGGTGAAGCTCGTTGTCAATGTCTGATGCATGTGCATCTTGATATTCAAATGCTGGGCCGTAGCTGCGCTTACGTATTGCAGTTGACACTGATAGTGACGGACAAATAGTGCCACTGCGTCCCTCACAATGGAAACGACGTTACTGGGTCAAAAGAATAAGAGTCGTTAAGTTAAAGCTCCAAATCCTTTCCTCCAAGAACAAAGCAGAAATCAGGATCTAAACAGCCTCACCACCAGATCAAGTCTACGCAGAGAATCATGGACGCATCGCGGTTTTATTGTACGTTGCGGGGCGTTGAGCCGGCCTCCGTGGAAAGCCGGCGCCGGCGCCGGCGCTGGCGTCCCATTTTGCCGTCGCTCAGAGCATGAAAATGTACCGGAAGACCCGGAATGATATCACTGTACGAAGCGTTCGGTCTGCTATCGTAAAAGCTTAAATCTCATGACTCTTTCCCGAGAGCTTCACAGAGGGCAAGGCTCGCCGCCAAATGGGCCGGTAATTACCATCACCCATACATTAACAGCAGACTTTTGACAACACAGGTGAACCTTGTCAAGTCGGCATCCCTGTAGTACACGTCCGCCACGCCCGCCCGAACGCGTTATTAAAAAAGTCGAGCATGCTAATCTCAAGATATAATTGCGCACTTCAATCGGCCCATGGCCGACTTTGCACATGTTATCATCATGGCGAACCCTGAGCGGTGGAGCGTGTTGAAGCAAACACCTTGCCTGTAAAACAAGTCAGACTCGACAAACACTCTCCAGAACATGGCTTCGCTGCCTCTCGAGCTTGTGGAGCAAATCTGCTCATTACTCTGCTTCCACTGTCGATACCAAGGGACTTTTCCCGATGCTGAAAGCGACGATTATCGACTCAGCAAGAGAACACTATCACGACTTTGTCGCGTTTCCAGAGGATTTTGCGCTGTTGCTCAGCCGTTCCTTTTCCACGACTTCGCCACGGGCGGGTTACTCCAAAGGCATGATTGCGGTATCGGAGCGCAGCCTAGCAAGCCCTCACAAGACGACGAGTACGACGACAAGCTGCCCGTCTTCCTGCGCAGCATCATACAGCGTCCGGATCTGGCATCTCACACCAGAACGCTACAACTGGTAGAGAACGACGTGATCAGAGGGTGCACGCCAGAACTAGCTCCACTCCTCATCAAAGCGACCGAAGATGCTGGCGCGCTACGGCACGCTCCGAGCAGGGGCTATCTCCAAACGAACATATGGAGTGGGTTCTCCGGTCAGCCCGAAGCTTTGTTACGAATCCAGCGGCGGAAGATTCACCACTGGCTCGGGGAGTTGGCAATTCTGCTATCGCCGAACCTCGCTATGCTTCTCATAGCCCGTGATAGCTTTGTGGACTATGAGCATATCAGAGATAGTCGGGCTTCCTTCCCTGCACTCCGATCAATTGCTCTCAGGGGCGTCAGGAAGAACCATCACATTTATGAGGCCTCTGCGCTCTTCGCCGCGGCGCCAAATCTTGAAAACTTGCATTCAATGCATTGCAGTCTCTTCGACGGTCAAAGTCCTTGGACTCTCGTGAAGCCTTGGACGCTGAAGTTGGGCAATCTTCGGAGATTGTCGCTGAGCGAGATAGGCTTTGAAGATCTCAATCTATTGGTGAAGTGCTGCCCGAGTTTGGAGGAGCTGGCAGTCACAGCGAAAGAAATCTACCGCAACTCGGGATTCGACTATTGGGATATGTCAAAATTGCTTCAGGCATTTGACCCGGTTCGCCATACTCTACGGAAACTGCGTCTTTCTCACGATTGTAGTCGGTCGTCTAGGGCAGACTCCCGGCAAGTTGCGTCTGGCGGGATAGCTTGGTCTTTCCGCTCCTTTGAGCATCTAGAGGAGCTTGTATTTGATCAAGCGGCAATCGACAACACCCCAAGAGCAGTTCTCTTGGAATATGGAGCGGATCTATACACCGAATGGAGGTTGGCCGAAGTCTTGCCAGCGTCCATTCGTCGGGTTGAGATCTTGCATGCAGACCAAAACTGCAAGGAAAAGCTCAGGCGGCTTGCCGAAGAATCTTTGTTCACGTTACCCAATCTGAAGGTTGTTCAGGTCAACTATGACGAGTTCAGAGAGAAAAGCGACCTTGATGTGCATTGCGTAGACACTATGGATGCCCGATTCCAATCGCTGGGCATCGAAATGATATGGAGTACAGGGTGTATCAAGGAGGAAGTAACGGCTTGACCTTAGTTGCTATCGGTCTACCTCGAACCAGAGTCGATTCATGGATGAGGACCATAGTTGCATGAGAAAATGCCTGTAGAGTGTTATTATAATAGATAGACTAATAGATAGAAACGGGAGCATGGCATAGCATTATCAGTCTGCACATAGCTTTGACGAAGAAGCCATAGGCCCCTCACGCCGGGCATATAGAAACAAACACAGAAGACAAAGCTGTTCATTACAATTCTGCCAGAACGCACGCGATAGACGAGGTGTGTTCTGACGGGTTTCGACGAAAATATGCCGACTATCGAGGATAAGACAGGCGAATGACCACGATACGCCCGTCTCCTAGGAAGCATGGATGGCAAGCGAGGTCGGTAATACCCTAAAAGATATTCAAGCTCCGAAGCGGTTGAACAGTCCTGGGACCGTGGCCCAGAACCTCGATCTCGGTATGTAGCTGGCACAAACATTAGCGGGCCGGATACGCAAATCAAAAACATTGACTGAGATGAAGCAAACGCTTCAAGCGACGAGAGATAACACCGATGTCCGCGTATGCGCTGCAAGTGATGCTTGTCAAACCTCGCCGTGCAAACTGCATCCAGCGGATACAACCGACGACCGAGTGTTCCACACGCACATTCAAGTGCGACCAGCATTGCCTCATCGGATTATTTGTTTGCTCGTCAGTCAAGGACAACGGCGGGCATGCCGGCAGCCGAGGTTGATGTCGCTGTCGATGCTGATGTCCCTCAGTGGATTCTCGTCAAATGCCCGCAAAGAGCCGAGTTCTGGAACAGTCTCGTCGCCGAATACATTGCTCGATCATGTCTCAGATCAGCCGCAATAACTGGACGGAGGATCAATACGGCGGTGGTTTTGACAGGTGCGCCTGCAAAGTAGCGCAGCGACAGCAGCCACTTGTTTCGAAACGCCTCTGGCTGAACCCTCGCATGGTGTCAACGGCTTTGTGAACAGGGGGACGGGTTGAGCTAGAGCTGAATAGGGGCGACAGAGCGAGAGGCCAGCTTCGAAGGTAGAGATGTAGACGACCTCGAATTTGTTGAAAACTTTGTGGCGGCGCCAATGGTGTCTTTGACTCCCGAGACATTCCTAGTTCTGGTACTGGGGTAGTGCCGGCCGTCGACGATAGCGTCTTGGAGTAAAGGCAACGTTGATTTGATGGTGTAGGTACCCCGGAGGCCGAGTCGGTCCACGCCAGAGGGCTTGTCGACGTTGATGGCGTGGAGTTGGTGCAATGAGACGGCGTAGAGACTCGTGGCGGAGCGCAAGGACCGGGAAATCGGTTACATGTTGAAATTACGACGCAAACATTCGAGGTATGTGCCTCGATCGAGGTGTCGTGTCTCGCGGACTTGTGGGGGAGACGGCATAGAGTGAATGTCGAGTACCATGCCCCACGCGGGAAGATAAGGACAGAACGGGGCAAGATTGTCTGAATATGAGCACTGAGCGGACTAAATGCATGAACATGTCAGCAATCGCGTTTGTGTCAAAAGGAAACGTAGCGCCGATCCCATCTCAGTAGCAGAAGCGCGTGTTGTGGTGTCATGGTGTTGTGAACGTAACCTCCCATCGATCTCGAGCCACGTGCGTCACCGTGTTTATGAACATGCTCCCTTGTCTTTTCGTAGAAATAACAGACCTGCTATGATGAGGGGTTGGATCGCCAAGTTGACAGTATTGATGCGAGAAGCGCAAGCCTGGCCGCCTTTCCCATTGATAGCTTGATGGCAGGCAGGGCGAGGGGTAGATCCTTGTCAAGGAGACCTAGAATATCGATGGAACAAAGGAGACGCCAACGATTCTCAGAGAAACTTGAAGAGGAGATGGCGACAGTTGTCGCACAACGGGGTGGCACATTGAGGAACAATCGAACCCAAGTCGGAGACCCAAACGACCCAAGTCAGGTTGACAGAGCGGCAGGAATGCATTTTGGTCCCGCGAAGGCAGCGAGGGTTCTCCCGGTCGCAACCGAAACTCTGGAAACTGTTCCAATGGTTGGACAATCTGGGGTGTTGAGTCTGTGGTGCGACTAGATCTGACAAGTGACAAGAGAAGAGGCGAGCGTAACTGTGGTCCTTGATTACTTGGAGGACTCCCTCCGTGATGCTAAGCCTCACCGCCGAACGAGAACTGGGGGGGCTCCGTCTGGCCGCTTGGATCTAACGGCTTCGCTAGAACCTGTTCGTGTTGGTCTCGTGCGGCGCAGTTTCTCGCTTCCTGGCGGGCCATTCGAAGATACCGAAGGAAAACACTGAGAAGATTCGAGACAGTCCAATTTTGAGGTCCGAATGGAGAAGTCAAGGAGAAAGTAGAGTTTGTGCAAAGCAATAGCGAAGGAGTTCTTCAAGGCGCGCAGAGGGAACATCCCTTACCTCACCTTAGTCATCATTCAAGTGATGACTAACAGCATGAATCAGCACGTGACCAGACTGGTTGGAGCGGCGGTACGTACTTGTCTCCCGGAAATGGACGCAGAGCAAACGGAGGACATTGCGCGTTGCCATTCATGTCCATCAAACTGCACGTCAACAGCCTTTGATCAATCTATCGGGCACTTGCATTCAACAGTTCAACGTCAGGCTGGATGCATCAAGTGAGCGGCATCTAAGACCCTCGAACTGATTGCAGCATCGTGCAGAAGAAGCAGCCTGCCGCCCTTTCTCACTACTTGAGGCCCTCGTTGTGCGACTTGAAGATGCCCTCGCCCATCGCATCACATCACTGAGCAATTGTCTTGAACCCTGACCCGTCTCGGCTCTCCTGGAAGCCCCTTATCGATTCTATCTCGTCTGGTCTAGTCTTCATCCGCCAACATCCAATGGCTCGGAGCTTACGAGGAACCCGCCAATGACGCTCTCTACCCGTCTCTGGTCTTGGAGCCTCCCGTCTTTTGCCATTCCGTGTGGGTGTCGCGTCCTTCCGCTGCCCTTACTGCCTAGTCTTAAGTGCGACGGGGAGGGATGATGTTCTCCTATCCCAGTCCAAGTACCGTGTGCATGCCCAGTGCCGGCGCTTGCTAAGTTGCCTTGTTGGCTAACGTCCACTTACTGCATCCTGTACTAGCTCGTCATCATCATCCCGACTACGCCACCAGGTATGGCTCCAGCTTACACAGCACACCGTTCGACGCATGGAGGAAGAGCCCCCAAGACATCTGAGACAACGTCTGGCCCCCTCCCAGGGTACCGTCTCTTGTACAACACCAAGGGGCCGATACTTGGCGTCCGCCTCTCGTTCACCAGCCAGAGTCAGAGGCAGCGCGACCTCACCTTCTGTACTCCTGCCCTTACCGGAAGCAAGCCGGTGTGACATGGGAGCCCAGACAAGTGTCTCGGGGACTTGCGCTCTCTACTCTCCCAGCGCGATCATCACCGTCTGCTTCCGACCCCAGCATCCACGTCCTCGGCAAGGCCATGGTCTTGGTCGGAAGTTCCCCCAAAGGACTGACACGTTCAACACACGTAACTTGATCTATATAGAATCCGTGATCTTCTCCCCTACAGTATCCTTGTTTCCCAGTCTCCTCATCAGGATAAACAAACAAGATCAACAGAGTAGCGCTGCCATCTCATCTGCCTTCCGCATCGTGTCACTGCTCCATCCCGAGTACCCGACTCTACTTCACTGGCACTTGTAGACCTCTCAACCCTCTCTACAGCATTCGACCGTCTCGTCGTCATCGCCAACATGTTCGACGCTCAGAAGGCCGCAGTGCCGTCCTTCATGGCTCCTCCGACATTCCTGCAGTCAAGAGCGTCAACCCTGACACCAAGCGACTCGAGCTCAAACTACGATGAGATGGAAAAGGACATCGCGAGCTCTGCCGCATCGTTTCAAGATATACGAATTGATCCCATCCTTCTCCCTCCTGTCCCGTATAGCGAGCTATCGAGAATACCTTCCGCCAAGTCAGAACAAGCCGAGATCGTAAATAACGAAGACGATCTCGAATATCCCAAGGGAATGAAGCTGGCTTTGATTGTCATGGCATTGTGTTTCAGTGTGTTTTTGATGGCTCTCGGTAAGGAACCGTCTCCCCAATTTCCACACTCCTTCAATAGGGTAGAGCTACAGCTGACCATAACCACCACCTAGACAACTCTATCATAGCCACCGCCATCCCGCGTATCACGGATGAGTTCAAGAGCTTGAACGACGTCGGCTGGTACGGCAGTGCCTACCTCCTCACAACAGCCTCTCTCCAGCTGCTCTTTGGCAAGTTTTACAGCTTCTTCAGCATTAAGTGGGTGTATTTGATCACCATCGCCATCTTCGAGCTGGGCAGCTTGATCTGCGGTGTCGCACCCAACAGTATCGCTCTGATCATTGGCCGCGCCATCGCGGGAGTAGGTTCAGCCGGCATTTTTGCCGGAGCACTCATCATCCTCGCCTATAGCGTGCCTCTCGAGAAGCGTCCCATCTACACTGGTGCCGTTGGTAGCATGTGGGGTATCTCGTCCGTTGCTGGTCCTTTGCTGGGTGGTGTCTTTACAGATAGTCTGACGTGGCGGTGGTGTTTCTACATTAACCTGCCGATTGTAAGTTGATTTTGATTCTTCGTCTTTGATGCCACCGTGCTAACGCCGTGGATAGGGAGCCGTCACCATCTTTGTCATTCTCTTCTTCTTCCCTGATCCCGTCCGCTCCATTCCTCAAGAGACATGGCGAACGCGCTTCATCCAGATGGACCCTCTCGGAAACATGCTCTTCATGCCGGCCATCATCTGCCTCCTTCTCGCTCTTCACTGGGGTGGCGTCACATACCCCTGGGCCTCTGCTCGCGTCATCGTTCTCTTCCTGATTTTCGGCTTCGGCATGGCGGGCTTCCTCTACTTGCAGTACCTTGGCCAGGAAAACGCCACAGTCCCGCCGCGCATTTTCAAGCAGCGCTCAGTCTGGTCGTCCTCCTTCTTCGCCTTTAACACCGGCGCCGCCTTTCTTTTGTCTGTCTACTTCCTGCCCATCTGGTTCCAGTCCGTTCAGGGTGTCTCCGCCGTCAACTCGGGAGTCAGAAATTTGCCCATGCTGGTCAGCAACATCATCGCTTCACTCGTTGCCGGTGCCGCTGTCACTATCTGGGGCCTGTACACCCCATGGATGATTCTTGGCTCGATTCTCATGGGAATCGGATACGGCCTCATCTCCACCTTCAACCCCAACACATCCTCCGCGATGTGGATCGGCTACCAGATTCTCGCCGGTGCCGGAGTCGGCGCCGCTATGCAGCAGCCTTTAATGGCTGTGCAGGTGGTCCTCGACATGGCCGACGTGCCCACGGGAACCGCCATCATCATCTTCACACAAACGGTTGGCGGTGCCATCTTTGTCGCCATCGGCCAGACAGTCTTTACCAACAAGCTCGTGGAGAGCCTAGTCGAGTACATCCCGACCATTGACCCCCACTCCGTCATCGCCGCGGGTGTGACAGCCATCCGCAAGACCATTGATCCGTCCCTCCTGCCCGCGGTAGAGCACGCCTACAGCGACGCCCTAGCACAGGCGTTCCTAGTGAGTGCTGTGACGGCCTCGGCGACCATCATCGGCTCCGTGTTTGTGGAGTGGAAGAGTGTCAAGGGCAAGGATGTCCACGTAGGCATGGCGTAGTCGAGACTCGGAGATGTAGTCGAGCTTCTCGGCGATTTCATTCCTTCAGCTCGGGGACTTTCGCATCCAGAGCTCATCATTTCCCTATGTTCCTTGGCGTGATTTCAGAATGTAAGCTATGAATTGGGAGGCGTTACGGGTTAGGAGCATTTGTTTGACTTGATCGGAACTGGATGGCGGTATTGGCGGGGAACATCCGTCTACTCGGGATAGCATGCC